CGTATGTTGCATCTCTCCCCTGGTGACCGGATGCGTCATGGGCCCATCGAGCCAGAAATAATTCTCCTTTGTGCTGCCAATCCAGATCTACCTGAGAGACTTCAATCCTGGCAGCTCGGTCTGCCTGCTCGTTGTTACAATGCTCCATTGTGGCACAGTATTGCCTTATTTTACTTTAAAAAAATATATATATTTACAAGACATAATCTGCTGATGTACAAGTCAGTGACATAAATACGAAGGGCTGAGCCAATGATTCCTCTGACCAGACATCCTTTACAAGTTTGAACTGCAGGATCCCAGAGTCCTCCCAGCACTCTGCTCAAGACACAAAGAGTCTTTGTTTTCTGGACTTTCACTTCTGTTTTAGCAGAGAGAAACCACGTTCACATTACACAGGAAGTGAGACAATAATTAAATCACAGAATCATTAGATTCACAGAAGAATCCAAGTCTGGCACAGCTGACACAAATGAAGAGGGGTTGCCATTTTCATTCCTATCACCAGAGTATATTTAGCAAAGGAAAATCCCCAAAGCTGAAAACATAACTGATACTCTACTTGAAAGCATTCAAGCAGTTCTTTTACGATATTGCTCATGGACCATAACATTTTACTCAAAATGTTATATGCTCCAGCTGATGTCTCCCACCTGTGGCTCAAACAACTGCAGCACTACAGATCTCCTGATGTTTTTTCCAAATGCAATGTCACCCCAGATGAGACAACAAACAGCTGCAGTGCAGCAGGAGAAATTAATTCTATGATTATGTCCACACAGACAGATTAACATGCTGAAAAACAGACTTGTGGGCTTGTATCTGGAATCAGAATGTCTGTAAGGCAGTGAAGACATAATTCAGCATTTGAACTCAAGCCTTCCTGAAATATCTGGCCAACCCTGAGGGGCAGAATCTCATTTCTCTGGGTAATATCACGTGGAGGTAAAAAGCAGCCAGAACTGAATCAGAACACTCACAGGAACAAAGCACAGCTGAGGACACTGAGTTACACCTGTTTGGCTTTCAAAACTATTTTACCAACGTAGAACTTACCTACTCCATCTTTCAAAATTCTGCAATCCCAAACTTTACTTCTAGGGAGTTTCAAGACATCAAGAAACATTGCTAATGGCCTTTATCCATCTATCTCCCTAGAGAGGGATGGTCAGTGAGGAGGTGAAGGCAGCAAGACCGAAGAAGCTTTAGTAAATCCCAAATCCCAAAGATCATAAGAAAACCTTGCCAGCAATTCACTTGAGAAACTGATGGGTGAAGAGTAATTACAACCTTTAGAAACTTACCTACTGTTTAGAAACATTCATTTGCACAGTTCAGCAAAAAAAAACAAACATTCTTCAACTACTTATCAACACAAAGTAACAATAACAGAAATTCCCTTTAATAAAACAAAACCAAACCACCCCCAGCAAATCTGATGAAACAATAATTACAAATGTGCCTCATTTAAAGACCCTTGTTCATTTGAAGCCACATACCAGTCAGTTTGTTCATATTACGTTGCACTGACACCACCACAATTTGTTCAGCTATAAGAGTATTAGGTTTTCAAAGGTCAAGACTAACCAAGATTAAGATTCAGAATGCTTCCTGGAGTGGAGGTTCGTTCTTGCTTAGAAGAAATTGGTGTTGATGCTTGAGGAGAGAAAGGTTTGGGGCTGCCTGACAAGCTCCCTGCTTGCCCTGTTCTCGTTGGTGCTGGAGAAGCTGAAAAAGCAGAAAATTAATAAAGACAGATTTAAAACTAGAATACCTCCTAATCGTGACAATTCTAACTCTTTCTGTATTTACTTCCACTCTCCATTCATTTTGATAATTACAACTATTTTCTGCTACTTAAACTGAAGGGGTTTGGTCATTTTTCAAGATTATTTATTAATTCTCAACCTGACAGAGAAAACTGAGGTTTCTTATCTGCGATACTGGAAGTTAAACACCTTTTTTTCTAAAACTTCTTCATAACCCAAGTCATAATGCAGCCTGTCTTTAAAAAGTACATGGAATAGAACTAGTGCATTACCAAGTCCTGCATCCCACTTTTTTCTTTTTTTACCTGTATTTTTCTCAATAAAGTCCATGGATTCTTCACTGGCACTAAAATGACTGGAAGTTGCTTTTTTCTCTGCATCCTGTTCAACATCAGAGCCAGTGTGAACTGATGAGTTTGTACTCATTGGTGACCGTGGCATATCTGTCAATGAAATCCGACGGCCTGTGCTGCTGCTCAGCATAGACTTGCTCATCAGAATCTTGGGTGATGCTGTCATATCAAAGTTCAGTTTGATTTTCTCTTGTTTGTCTGTCTTTGCAGTTCCAGCAGTTGGGTTTGCAGGGTCTAACAACATTTGGTATTGATTGTTGGGAGTATATGGTGTCCGGAAAGGTGCGTAGTTAAATACTCCAAATTTTCTACGAATGTTATCAACATAAACCTCCATTTCTTGCATTGCACTATTGAAGATGCTTTTAGTCTTTTTCACAGAAAAAGGAATTTCTTTAGACATGAGGTAGCAATTATTTATTGGAACCCAGGCCCTATATATAAAACAGAAAAATAAAATACAATATATTTCACACTGGGGATTGACATTGGCAACTTTTGTGCACATACTAATTTATTTTAGCCTGATCATAAAGATATGCACACCTCAGATCATTTCAAAGAACCTACAGTTCTCCACAGCACACCACAGACACAGGAATTAACCTGCATCCTCACCAGACTATGTATGTACCAATCTTACAAACACGGCTCACACTCTACAGACATCACACAAGGAACTAAAATTGTGTATGTTACATTATTACAGAGTTTGTTAGGGTCAAGGTTCAAAAGACAGGATACAAAAACTCTTAAGTGCACAAAATTACCACAGGAATTTTTTAAGCACAGTCAAAGGCATCCTCTGGTTAAACTCCCACCTGTCATGTTGGCCAAAGAAACGGGCATCGACTTGCCCGTCTTTATCCCTCAGTGCTTTAGCAGGCCAGAATGGAAAGCCTTTGAGTTTAGCCCAGACCAAAGGGTGGGGATTGCTCTAGAGGAAGAGGCAAAACACACAGTCAGAAAATGCAAGTAGTACTACCTTCAAATCTGATAATAAACATGATTTTTTTTTTAATTGTATACGTTACTTAGGTTCAATAAAGATCCAACATGCTCAAGGCACTTGCCAGATACAAGACTCCATTTTACTATATACATAGAAATCCTGAGAGAACAAAATGATAAAATTATATTTAAAAAAAACCCAAACCAAAACATAAAACCTTACACGTCTCAACTAAACTCAATGCAATTGCACTTCTTTATTCGTTTATTTTTGATTAGTCCCCTCCAAACGTGTAAGTTAGGCTAAGGCCAATCTTTGAAATGCTCTTAATTTTCATCTAAGTCTGTGTCCTGGCAGAGCATGAGACATTGAAGAGTCCTTGACTTCAGGTAAGCACTACTTAGCAACAACCAAAACATCAGTGTGTTATCAACGTTATTCTCATACTAAATCCAAAACACAGCACTGTGCCAGCTACTAATGAGAAAATGAACTCTATTACAGCTGAAACCAGGATAGTCCAAGAAAGAACTTGATGGATTATACACTTCTATTAAACAGAATAGAGATCACAGAAGAAAAATCGAGTCTAAATTCTCACACACCTGCAGAAAGAGACACTCACACCAGAAACCCTCCCTGGCACCATGGGCAAGCACAAATGACACAGGAGCAATTATCTTATATTTGAGGACAGATAACTTGAGTACTGAACTGGCTGCTGACACCCTTTACAGTTATTTCTGATGGAACCAACCCTTTTGTGAAAACATCTTGAGACAGTCTGACTGCACAACGAACACGCTGCACAAGCACAAGCTATTTGGTGAACTACAGCAGCTTCCCTCAACTCAGTAACTTCCACAGGTTTAAAACAAAGAGAGGATAACAGCAACAGTGAAATGAGAACTACTGGTTCATTATAGTAGCCAGACTACCATAATCCTCAACTTACACAAGGCTCACAAAACCAATTTTCTCGTTTTTGGCAAGCAGCTAAATAACATTCCGGACAAACTTCGATTTCATTCATCTGAAAACAAAAAGCAAAGTTACTGGAGAGATTAAAGAGAGTCCCAAGTACTATTATGTTAGCCTGTCTAGTTTGCTAGCACCATTTTTCCACAAATTTGTGGGTACAAATCCCCATTTCCCAGGTGGCCAAGAAGGCCAATGGCACCTGGCTTGTATCAGCAGTATTGTGGCCAGCAGGACCAGGGCACTGACCCTGCCCCTGTGCTGGGCACTGCTGAAGCATCTCAAATCCTGTCTTTGTGCAGAATTCATATATCCACTGTCTTCTCTTCCCTCCCCCCCCCTCCCCAGAATTTTTAATTATAAATAGTGAATATCCTAATGGAAGACACATTAGCAATGCCCTTGCCAGACACCATTCTCTGGGCCGTGGATAAGAAAGCCTAAAAAATTATGGTTCTGCAATACACACATAAGAAAACATATATTATTTCACTCAAGAATACATGAGATTGAACACTTTAAAAACACAGAACAGTTAATTGATGCACTCACCTCATGCTCACAGATTTTGATGATGACTTTTGCTGTCTGTGTCAATTTGTGATTTCCTGAGGAAACAATAAAATGCTTTAACCAAGAAAATTGTTATGCTAGCATTATGATAAAATCAACATTTTTCAGATGTAAAAGTTAGTGATAAAACCAAAAGAGAACATCTAAAAATGATGTAAAAACCTATGTATAAACTACACGCTTGCAAAAGCAGGACAGGAGCACTCTTCTTCTCAACGTAACATTGTAATAATCTTTAAATGCTCCTTTTGGAAGCCTTCCCCCCACCAAGGCACTCTTTCAGTGAGGGATGTGCTGTATGATCTTCTCAGTTAGGTCTTAATTAAGTGCTGCACAATGCAAAATGCTACAGCAACTTGGGGGTTGGAACCCAGTGATCTTTAAGGTCTGTTCCTACCCAAACCATTCAATGATTCTATGGACCCAAACCATCCGTGATTTTAACTTATGTGATTTTTTTTTTCCCTAAGGTGGAATGAGCAAGTAACAGCACAGGTTATATTTGGCCCTACAGTTTTATGTATGCCAATTGTTTAAAAAAAAAAATCTGTTATGTTTAGGCATTCTGTTCATTAACAAAGATACTTTCAGCACTTACCAACCAGAAGTCTACAATGGCTCCACAACTTTAACTATTTAAAAGTTTCAAATTTGAGGACATAAGTACACATCAATACTTACCCCCATTGTAAATAATGCAGTTGTGCAAAATCCATTTGGCATCAGCCAAAAATGCTTCAGTGCAACCGTACATTTTCTTTTTAACATTCTGTAAAGAAGAAATTAAGAATGTATCAGGAAACAGAAATGAGTAAAAAGTGACAGCTTCTTCCTCACCACTGTTTCCTATCGGTTAGACAATTAATAAAACTGACTCCTGGAACTGTTCAAGCCAGGCTGGACAATGCAAGTGCCATTATTCACCTCTGGACTGTTTCTTTTTTCTTCTACACCTCAGTGCAGTGGAGATCACAGTATTTGCTGAATGATCAGTAAAATGAGTCTGGAATGACCCAAATGGTCATACACCAAATGGTCCCAGATTAATGAACTAGTGATCCATAAATAGCTTACAAACATGATGATCAAATGCAAACCCTGGTTAAAGGAGTCTCTCCTGGAGATCATTCCTGGAATTAGATGAATTTAACTGGAGGAAGTCAGCAGTGTAAGCTTGTCTTTTTCATACTGTTTTTCCTGAGCATTTGCTACCAGTTCAGACAAAACAGTGAACTTACTGAGTTGGCATATGATTTAGCTGCAACTGAATTGATTTTTATATTAACAAAAAAACCCCATCAAAACTATTTCAAGCAGCTTCTCTCCCCTGCCATTGAACACTTCAGAAATGTTACAGATAGTAAAGATCAAAGTCAAGGAACCTTTCTCCGTTAGCTTCATACAAACCTTCTCTAATGTACAAAGGTCCATTGGATGAAAGATATATTCTGCATAATCTGGGTGTTGATCCAGTGAAACTGGCTTTTGAAATGGCTCTGTCTGTTAGGGGAAATAATAAACCACACTGCTTACTAATAGGAAACAGTTACAGCAATGACAATACTCACTCGTTTTCTAACACTGCTTCCAACTGTGTTATCAGAGAAAATCCTTCAAAGGTAATTATAAAATGTTGTGAGGAAGTAAATTATTAGCAGAACAACAGGAACTAAAAGGTCTCATTTGACTGATTTTTCATATGCTGGACACAATGAATTGCAAAAATTAAAGGTTTCATAAAAGGTACTGTTATGATTTGCAGTCGGGGGTTTTTTGTGTGGAGTATTAGATGAGGCTCAGCAGAGCATTTTTAGAAGAATAAAGACACTAAATTTGCAATTCACAACTCACAAATACTTTTTTCCTGACTCTCATTAGAATCACAACTTTTAAAACAATGAGGGCTTGGTAATGCAAACACAATCAAACTTTTTTCAGAGGGACTCCACACTATATCTGCCAATGTGGAGGGACTGCAGTTCTTGGACCAAACCAATTAAAGGACTTGGTACCAACACAACAGGTTACTACTAAAATGCCTGAAGGGCAAAACATCCCAAAAGCATTCATTAGACATTAGCTTTCTAACCACATTTCCCAAACACTTTGTGAATTCAATATAAACAAACAACTGACACTTTGCTACTGAAAAGCTGCACTTAAAGCTTCTAAGGGCTCCATCTGATAGTATTTACCACTCCAGAGTAACAGGATTTGAAGAGCCAAAATCTGTCAGTACCCAGAGTAAGAAATTGTCACTATTGTTCTGCTTAAATACTTGTCACAGAGAGTAAGAGCTGCAGAGAGCCCACCATTCTGCACATACAGTTTTCCCAACATACTCTATAGTTACTACAACCCTGTAGGCACAGAGACACCCTCTGCTCCTCTACCTTACATACAGGGGAGCAACAGGAGTTAAGATAACTCATCACATCACATTTTGATTAACTGTTATCTTCATACATGTGAGGACCAGGCACAGCCTGCATGGCAAAAAACAAGTGACAAGAATTGTTAAAACTTAGAAGCGAGAATGAGTGACTGGAACAGCTGAAACTTGGAGGCTTGGTGATTTTCAGGAGTCTGAGACAGATGCATGGAGACAGGTACAAGCTGGAGGAAATCCAGTTTTACCTCCATGATTCAGAGGACAGCAGCCTCATGTTGCATGAAAGTTAATGGCACAGGCACTAAAATTTCTTCAGCATTTTAGAAGTATATGATACAACTAACTTTTGTGGCAAGAACCATTTCTACTAACAGAAGCTGTGTTTTTAACAGGTATAATCACTAATATAACAGTGTCTGGGTCTAGGGCTCCTGTCCATACAACTGTATTGGTAAGAGACTGTGTCTCCTCATTCCCCTTGTATCTCTGAGACATCACGGTCCACTTTCAGAGAGAGAAACCACGTTCCACTGGAAAACCACACTGTATTTTCACTGCATCTACTGAAAATACATCCAGAAGTTACACCAAAAACTGCATTTTAAATGCACTCCAAAACAGTCTCTAGAAGCCACGCTAATCTGCCCGTGCAGGGCAGGTGGTAGGCACCACAGAAGCTGTCAAACACAATCTGATAAACTAAACTAGGTTCATCATCCACTAAAGGAAGCAAAACCCAGGATCATGACAAACATTTGACCCAAGTATTTAAAGAAAAAACAACAAAAATTTCCTTACCCCTGGCTGTTTCATTTTCTGTAGTGCAAACTTCAGTAGATATGATAGCTGTTCGATGGTGAGCATTGTCATTGCTTTACTCTGTGTTTCTATGCATTCTGCCACTGTGATTTTCTACAGATTCAGATTAAAAAAAAATTTTTGTCAGCAAATATTTCTAGGTAAATCCTTCTCCACTGAAACATTCTAGTATTCAAATGGAATATAATAGGTGTTTAATACCAAAAGAAGTCCTTTCTCATGATGCAGTGTAAGTACTTCAAATGCTTATTTTACTTGGTTTTTGTTCTTGGTATGTTCATCAAAAAAAAAAAAAAAAGGAGAAGAAAAAAAGGAAAAGACCAAAAATTATCTATCATCTTCAAGATCACGCAAAGTGAATGTGTGAATACATAAAATTCCCAAATACCATGTGGGTTCACAGCAATGTGAACAAGTGAGAAGGTCACCTGGGCTCTAATATAATAAGTGATAAAAAAAAAAAAACAAACATGCAATGAACAAATTTGCTTTCATTATAGATACTTGGATGCTGAGTATCCTCTCCCTAGAAATCTTTGGAGAGGAATGATTAAATTCTTCTTCAGCCCTGCAGAAAAAAAAACTGTAATAAAATACCCACTTGTTTATGGGTATTTTTTATATAGGCCATCCTATGCCTTTCTTGAAATTTGGGGAGGGTTAGAGGGACAAAGTTCATCCTGCTGCCTTCCACAAATTTTGTCAAGTCTTATAAGAAATTTGTTTGATTAAAAGCTACATTTTAAAATTAATTGATGAAGCTGTAAGGTTGAGTGGTGACACAAACCTGCTATCTAATCAAGGCATTTTTTTTCTGCACTGTTGAAAAGCTGATCAGCCCACTAGGAGAAGCACAAGTTAAACTAGTGGAAAACTGCAGAATGTTTTCAGAATTAGTGGTGCCTGATGAAGAGATCACTCTTTGAAATGGTGCTTTTCTAGAGCTGGAAACACAAAGGAAGTTGAAGACTCGTGGCAAGAAGGCAAACACAACCCAGGCACACGGGGAGAACAGGTGGTGAAGCAGAGCCACGGGTGGCTCCTCTCCTGTACAAATTTTTCTGGTCCCTTTACCAAGAGGCGATATGGGAATAAACCAGTAACATTTCAGAACGCAGAAAAAGCCGCTTCAATCTCTCCAAAACAAGCAAGAAACTCATCCTCACATCCAACTGACCTCACACTCGGGGCAAAACCAATCCCCCTCTGGCTCGGCTGTCAGTTTCAGACACTTAGCATGATAAACCCGCGGGCAGAGCTCGCAGCAGAGGACTTGGCCTTCCCGATGACAAACCCAGCAATAGAAATCATTCCGTCCATCCTGCGGTACAACATCAACAGGGTCTGTGGTGAGTGGCTGCTTCATATAGTAAAACGGACCATGTCTTAGTTCTGACTGAAATGTAGGCAAGAAAAACAGGTTTGGTTTCAAAACAAATTTGCATTTTTTTTTTCAAATCGTCATAGTCATCACATATATAAGCAAACAGCAATTAACAGAGTTTGATTAACATGTATGCAAGCACAGTATCTTAGTCATTGCACAAAATCATTCATAAAGAAGTTTACTTCTTATCGAGATGTCGAATGACAGTTTGCACTCAAGACCAGAAACAAATTTTTCGTGGCAAGTGAGGGCATCGAGTGCAAGACATGCAATCCAACAAGAGAGAGCAGACACTTTAAGCTTCAAGAAAGAAGTATTGCTACAGAAGCCATTAGCTCTTCTGAACTCAGAATTCCATGGGGCTGTGCAAGCTAAATACTGAGATATTTAGCGGTGGCTAAACCTGGGACAACTGAAGAAGTTAGTCCTGAAACAAGGAGTAGAACACCATGCAAATCTGGGCTAGGTTGCAGCAGTTCACAGCTTTGCACCATGAAGCAAGCCAGTGCCAATTCTGATTAATAAGGCAAACTGTAGAGAAGGATGACAAAGGAGCAAATTCACATCCTGAGCAGCCACCTCCGCTACAGGAGCAGGAACACTGGGAGAGATTTCATTCATCGTCTAAATGCGTATGAAAATTTGAGACTCACAATCTCCATTGGTTTGCCTGCCCTAGAAAACAGTGTTAAATTTGTAACCTGCATGAACTGCTCTTCCACTTGAGCCCGACAGCTCAAAGATGACACAGCTGATGCCAAAGCACAAGAAGTGAAGAGCCTGGGAGGGCTTAAGTGGGTCCACAGATACCTAAAGTTTGTTATATCAGCTTTGAAGAGCTGCTAACATGTATTGGGAAACTACATTCTATTTATTAGTGACAAGGGAACTTCAATTCTCTGTTTGGTATTAATTACAGGGGTGGTTTGCTGAGGAGGGCACAGGGGAAACAATCTTGAGATTTTAGGCAGTTTGTCTGATGTAAAACTGCTTGCTCATAACATCACTCAGGCATCCAAATACTTGTGGTCTGCAAAACCATTTTGTTTGGTTCTCAGGTCATTTTGCATGGGTCCTACATTTACACATCTGGAAGTTCTGAGATCCCTGTGTCATTCTGCACCTTTGGGGCATGCTGTACAAAATCAGTCACATGGGGCATAAATAATGTCACCAAACACAACCCACATGCTACTTCAAACCATAATATTTCTAAATATCTGAAGTTAGAAAGGATGAGATCTAATTATTTGCATGAATAAAGGACCTTTAAGGTAGAAGTGTTACACCTCAAAAAATACCCAGAAGAGGTATCATCTGCAATTATCTAACATAGTATAATATTTTAGGCAAAGAAAGGATGTTACCCATAAACATTCTGGCATCTAAAATTTCACATTAATTTCTTTCAGTTTTGGTGGTTTTCATTTTCTATTCTACAGATGATAAAGCCTCAAAAGACACTTTGTTCCCACCACAGAAACGGGCAAAATGATACTTCTGTACTTTATATATATATATATATATATTTAATTCTATAATATGACAAGACTTTCAGAAGGAAGGTTCTATGAGACCTTGAGGAATAAGTGGGACAGCATAAGAGTTTAACTCCATTTCAGTGTGTTGCTACCACAATCATTCAAACAGATACAAAGGCATCAGGAAACATGGAGTGAGGAAAGGAAAGTTGTGATTTCCAGTGTAGAAACATGTTCTGTTTGCAGCTTTATGTACCACAGCTGTGAGACCAAAATCTTAATCTTGTACACATGGAGATGCAGCTATGGGGCATTTCCTCCACTGCAGACAAAGGAAATCACCAGAAGAATTTAATACATATTCTGACTTGGAAGTAGATATAAGTAGTATGTGCACACTTTGCAAGATTCAAAGATTCAGCTTTAAGAAAAACATAAAACCTGTGAAACTATCCCACAGAAATCGGCTCAGAACATCCAAACTGAAGAGAAGTCCATTTTGGCTGAAGCATGAGAAGAATTAGTTTTCTGTCCAAGGATGCTTATACCATTTAGACATCTATCTCCTTATTTTGCCTAAGCCAAGTTTAAGAAACAAACCAAAAAAAAGGTTCAGAGACTCAAAAGAGACCCAAAGAACAAAACTAAAGGACTGAAAATGAATGATTCAACTGCATCAAAGGACCTTTTCACTTGTCGTAATCAGAGTAACGTTTTAAGAGTTAAATTTTTAACAGTTGGCAAAGTTCAAGCTCAAATAGGTGGCAGCTTGTTTTAAAGTCTTTATTAAAGTTATTAAGACCTGTAGAATGACACAGAAAACTGAAGAAAAAAACAACAGTATGGTAGTGCTGTTCTGGGGAAAAAAAGATCACTATTTATATTCAGTTTAAATGAATACTGAAGCTAGGAGTAAAACAAGCTGACAACTTCTATTACATTGTAACTGATCAACAAAGTGTCATAAGTCTCTGATTTTTAACCTGTCTTAGCTACATTCTACAATTCCAAAATTCTTTGCCTGTATTTCAGCACTTTAAATGCCTGTTGGCACCATTCTGAAGATCTGCTACTGCATCCACAACAAAATACAAAGCTTCATGCAACTGTAACAGGATCTTGGAATACTCAAATATTAAAAAGCACTTTGTAATGCAGAATATTAAGTTCGAGGTTTCCAGGGATGTTGTGGTACCTCAAAACAGATTTATCAGCCAATCAGAACCACAGCTATCAGCTACATTATACTTGAAACTTAACCTGAGAGCAAAACTAGTACCTGTATGCTTCACTCACATCTGCTCAGCAGTAAAAAGATCTCTAACAACTCCTGCTACCACACAGAGCAGAATTTGCACCTACTTTAAACACAACAGGCCCACTTCAAATTTGACATGCAAGACAATATTAAAAACAACTTGTGAAAGCTGAACAAAACTCAACAGATTATATTTTCTTGCTAACTTGTAATAAACACAGCAAAATAAGCAAGTCTGATTGGTTTTCTTCATTATTTATTCTATCCTGTACATTGCAGGTCTGAGATACCTGGAAAACAGAAAAGGATTTACCGAGGGGAATGTATCACGTTCAACAACTGCAACTGTGTTTTCACATGTATTTCTAAATGCAGGAAGAAAAAGTGGAAATTAATACCCTAGGATTCAATTCCACTGTTTGTAAAATTATCTCTACACTGCACAGTTAGAAGCTCAGACTTCAGTGGGGCAACATCTCCCCAGAAAACTTCCAGGATGTAGAGGAGTAAATCCAGCCTGAAGTGAAGCTCAGCAAAAGCCAAAGTGACCCCAGTGCACTACTGCAAGCACATCTCCACATGCTACTGTCACACCTCCCAGTTATCCTGAAATAAAATACGGTTGACACTGGGTTTTAAGGCCTGATTTATTCACAGGCATTGTTGCAGGACAACTGCAGTGATTAGGAATTTCATTTTCTTTCTTCACCAGTGCAATTGTACCAGGGTAATATCTAATGTGGATGTTGTTATGCCAGGAAAAAGTGCTTTAAATGCTCACAACTTAATCCCGTGTTCATATGATCCTGGCAAAACAAAAAACAGTGACACACAAAAGAACTTTGAAAAATACACAGGTATGTCATTATTACATTAGACATGAAATAATTTCAGTAAGGCTGAAGACTGCTTTCATGTATTCTCCTCTAAGATCATGCAGGTGCTTTACAGCATTTGCTATTCAATACATATAATTCTTGCACATGCATCACACAATGGATCAGAAATTGCCAAAGTCTTCCAGAGTCGAGTTCTTCCAAGAACTACAACAAATGCCATCAATTCAGTATTCACAAGTCACTAAAAATGAGGCTTCAAGCATGAAGGCTGAAAAGTCAGTGTGACCCATTGATACAACTCCCATTGGCAGGAGTGTACGTTGCCCAGAAGTTTTAAGGAAGGGGAGGGAATCTGCAGAGCACCAAGGATGGAGCTGACTTTTGTTAATAATTCACAGTAGGACGGGACTGAAAGCAGATGAGGAACTTCCACTGACATTATGAGATCTTTCTCATCTTAGATATCACACCACTGAGCATTTCATTTTAATGGTTTTAATTAATAACAGCTGTTGTTGGTTTTTTAATTGTTTTTACATTTCTTCATAATAATTCTGTTCAAAATTACATTTATTGGTTATACATCTTATTAGCTTTGTGAAATCAATAAGCAGGACACAGGTGGTCTTTCTCAACAACAATAAAAGAGCATTCAAACCCAAATGATAATGCCAATTCCTACCCCCAGTGCAGTCAAAAATTAATAACCACTTCTTAAAAGTACAAGAATGGAGCTTCCTGAAGAGGAAGTGAGCTCCTGGTCAGCTGTCTCTACATCCTTTACTGTTTCACATTCTAGCATCAAAAAAACATGACTTCTCTTACCTGCTCTTTATTATTACTGTTCAATAGACCAGGTTTCTTTTTCTTTTTTATAGGACTTGTTGATGCATCTTGTGGTGAGTGGCCATTAGAGGAATGTGGAGGGCTGGGAAATTTCCTTTTTTGTGCTGTGCGTTCAGCAGAGCCAGGATCTAGAACAGATACAAACAACACAGTTGAAGAGTGCAGAATGATGAAAAACACTCCAACAAGGTTATGGTTTGGCATCCACACCGTGCAAAGATTTTAAATTCATCTTTTTAAAGTAAGAACATTTGCAACTTTATTCTCTCAGAACAAAATTTAAATTATTTCTAATGAAGCAGCTCAATTATAAAGAACTTACTGATAATTTTCAAAAGAAACAGGTGTGTAAGGAGCTGTAAAGGACAATCATAGAACAGTGACATGATCTTGACAAAACAGAAGTGAAAGTTCATCAGAGTTGGTTTGACTGTTTAGTTTTTCCCCAAGCTTTTAATGCATGCAACAAACAGAACTTCAGTTAAAACCATAAGGATCAGAAGTCATCAACATCACAGGGAAATAACTGAACCACCCCCAAAACACAGAACTGCACAGGAAAACAAAAAATTCAAAACTGTGGGTTTGGCCCCTTTCTGCACAATTTTATGGAAAATATGGAGCTACCTGGTGACTTCTAACTGACCAAAAGCTTGGCAACTTGTGTCAAGATAACGTTTAAGGAAACCATGACTAAATATGAAAAATATATTAGAATATAGATTGAAGATTATATAACTGAAAGAGGGAAAATAAACGTAGTAGCCTTTGCCCATCCTGAGTTTCATGAATCTAGAACAGCTGCACCAGCCTAACAACACAGGTCATTTCAACAATTTTAGGAAAAGTGTCTGCCACTTTTCCAGCTACTTCAGCAGTGCTGCCCAGCAGAAATGTCATGCCAGCTCTCAGGGAAACTTTTATGTTGACATAAGTTACAAATCTTTGGCAAAACATAGTTAAGCTGGTTTAAATAAACAAACAAAAAGTTTTCATGTTTTGAGTTCTGACAGTAGGAGGTGGCTTTTTTTCCTTCCCACACACCCGTCCCCTTTCACACTTGTAGGCAGCATTTAGGACCAGTTATCTCCTGACACATCTAGGCTGGATTCAATCAATACAATGTGTCTGAGGCCATGACTGTCACTGGATGTGTTTTGATTCAAGCAAACCTGCATTTAGCCCAAAATTTGGATTGATTTGACATTACAGAGAACTGCCAGATAAGGTGTGTCACCTGTATGTGTGAAAAGTGGAGTGTCTGCTTCCTCCCCTCCTTGAGCAATTATGACAGTAAAAATTCTAACACAGTACAACTCTGCTGACAGGAGACTCAGTGGGTTTGTCAGTTTAGCTGATTATGCACAGAAGGTGGCAGAAGAACTCCTTGGGCTGGGATATGCTTCACATATCCCAAGGGAGCTTCGCCAACCCAGCTATGCTGGAAGAAACACTGCAGCATCAGTGTCAGATAAACCAAAGCCCACAACTAAACCAAAGTGATCAAACCTAAAACCAAAAAAAGCTCTATTTTTTTTCATGAAAGTAGAACAGAGCTTATTCAGCATGGGAACTGTTTGCACTCAGTGATCTGCAAAACCAGCATCACACCATATCTTTTCTCATCTTCCTGTCACCACATTAAGTCTTTGTTTCTTTATTACAAATTGCAGTTCCCAACAGAGTCTTTCCACACGTTACTAAAGACAGTCATAAGAAAACTTCTCTCACTGTGAAGTGCTGATCATGCCTTACTCTTGTTTTCTCAATGCAGGGAGATGTGAGAATTGTCTCTCTCTACACCAAACAACATCCCCAAAGGACTTGCAAGGATGTCTGAGCCAGAGTTTCTCACCAGCAAATAAAGCCATCACTGTAACTCCCTCAAGAGACTCAGCTTTTATTCCCAGACTGTACCTATGCAGGGACAGCTTAAACCAGGGGGGTAAAAGGACACCATAGTTTTCTGTCCTTTGGCTTCCATTTCTTACTTCCAGGCACAAAACTGCCACCAGTGAAGCACAAGTTTCCTTTCAGCTCCTCAGCCTCAGATTGTGGGGATTACAAAGAAGCTGACTGTGACTCTGCACATTGTGACTCAGCTTTAAGTATGAAAAAGAAAATCAGCTGTAAAGTTCCTGCCCCCCCATGATGTAATGCTTTTCACTTTTAAATGCTGTATTTTCCTAAATTAACTGATTCAGGGTCAGGAAAAGGGTTAAACTGGTATTAGCTAAACCAGAACTGAATTACAATTCACCACAGTCAAATCCAAATTACACCTCAGCAGAGAAGGTAAAATGTAACTGGAAAAATTAAGGACCAGACAGGAAAACAGCAGTGCACAGGCATCTTCTTCCAGATTTAGCTGTGCTACTGGAATAGACCAGTTTCTTTAACTATCACAGCGTGTTGCCAATCTACCAATCTGTGAGGGACCTAATAACATGAACAATCTTTTAATTCAGTTTAAGTAACAAAAGAATGGTAGCACCTACTTAAATTGCTTGAGCTTTATCTTCCAATTCTAATCCAGATAAAAAAATGCTAAAGTTGCATTTTGTGTGAATTTCTTTCAACAGGAGTGCCCCATTCAGCACAAGCTGCTGCTTCTCCCTGCCTGGCTCTTCCAGCTGTGTGGCTGAGCTGTGAACCACAGCAAGAAACTGCTCCCTGTTAAAACAACCTGTCAGGAGAAAAGTTACTTTTTAACTGGAATCATTTCCCGGGTGTAGAGTTACCTGAACAAAGTGAAACTAATCTCAGAGGACTGGTCTCTTTTGTTCTAATTTAAACTCTGCAGCAACCTGGTGACTCCGTTACTTCAGAGCTGGATTCGAGTTTCTGCACATTCCATCGATAAACCAATTGTACCAACAAATTCATTTCCCAAATTAATTTGCCAAATTTACTAAAAAATTAAGTTCGCCAAGCAAGATTAAGTCTTCTTATTTCTTGATTTCTTGTGTGATTTTGCTTTCTTAGCACCATTTTAAAATTCTGCTTCCAGCTTAAGTGAAGAAATAGACACCTGAAATAAATTTTTAAACTCTCATTAAAAGGTACCTAGTTTTACATCACAAGGTTAGTATCAATTGGTGTGTGATGTTACCGAGGTTGACACTAAGTACCTATGAGTGCTCTTGCAAACCATCCATTGGGGAACAAGCAGCTCACCTGAGCTTCACCTGAAACTTAAAATCTTTGTTTTAGTATGCCATCATGTGACTAAAGGATTAGTAACTAATGCTCCCAGGAGACAGACTAAAGCATACTTAAACCCTAAAGCAACTTAATTTCACACTTTATGACTACTTTAGAAGCGCAGTTTTTATGTGATGGCAATGCAAGTTTTTGAGCAGATAACCACGACAATGGTTTAATACGTTTCAGCTTAGAAAAAACTAAAAAAAAAAACAAACAAAAGTATATTATTTATATCAGGGATCTTATCTGGTTGCAGCATATGGAGCACAGACCACGACCAGATCCTTTTATGCTCTAAACATTGCCAAGTGCTGCAATGTAAACACTGCACAGCAGCCACTCCTGACAACTCACTGAGAAGTCTCGTTTTTCTCAACGGAAGCAGGTGCCAGCTCAGAAAATGTCTAAAAGTAGGATGTTGTTTTCCTTGCTTTTCCTGTGATCCTCAAATGTAATTCTTCTTGAAAACAAGCAACATCAACACGCCTTACTGTCAGAACACAGCACAAACTACCCAGTACCAAAGAGTAACTGACAGTGATGTCTCTTA